AATTCTGGGAGTTGAAGTCCACACATCTTCAAGTTGCTAAGGTTGAGAAACACTGCTCTAAATGTTGCCAACAGAAGCAGGTAACATGTTGTGGCATCTAGAAACTATATGTATATATGTATGTACGTATGTTATTTTTGGCAGCCAGGAGTTACAAATGGCAGATCAATGATGTAATGATATCATTCAGGGGGGGGGGTGAATATACCCATTTTTTGTCTTGTTTGGGACAAGGTCTATTTGCTTGCTCTTTTATGTATACTGAATAGGAGGAAACTGTGCCATACATATGCTCTGCTACCCAAGATTGACAGTGTGGTTCTGGGAGCCATAGAAGGATCAATGTTTGCTTGACAACAATGTGGTTCCACCCACTAACTATAATAATCCAACATACTCAGCTGGAAGGCTAGTCTTAAGAAAAGTTATGTATGGGAAATATATCAAAACCAAACATCCAACTGTATGTCTGTTAGAAACAATAATAATTGTTATTGGTTTTGGTGTAGGTATTCCACAATCAAATTTTTGAAAATTCCTAGATTTCAGCATTGCTTCAGCTAGATAAATATTTTTGGTAATGTGTGGAATTTAAAAATCAAATCAAATAGAAAACAGAATTACCTCTTCCTACCATAACTGGCCCATCGACCCTAGAAGCGTTCCTCCACTCTCTTATTAAAGATATTTATTTTTCACATTTTTTAAATTATCCCCCTCCCCTTGCCTTCTTAAGGTGAGGAAAGGATAGCCTAGCAGCTTCCAAATTCTTCAGCAAACAGCCTATAGAGACGTTATGCTGAACCAGTGCAGAAATATATTAGGCCAATATAAACACTTTCCAAAATTGGGTGAAAATTAAGTTTCTACTAAAGATCGAAGAGTTCCTCACTCACTGACCACATGCCTTTCTAGGGTGGCAGGCTTGCTAGCACAGGTTGTTGACAAGGTTCATCTCTTCTAAAGTGGGGCAGCATTTTTTTTTAAGTCTGAGAATGGTATCTATGTTCTTAGTATCCCATATTTAATGCATTATAATATAAAGGAGTAGCTTGTATTATATGCAAGTGTTTACGAGCAAGCACCCCTACCCACACAAGGAACAAGACCACTTGCTCAATACAAGACAAGCCAAACAAATAAACAAAATGTAGAAGAATGATAACAGGAAAGTTATTTTTTGAAGTTTTTAAAACAACTTTTTGGAGAAGAGTGGAAAATGAAAGGAGAATGAAAACAATTAAAAGAGTTTGAGAACTGTGAATAGATTTGATACATGGTTTAATAGGGATTATTCTATAGGTTAGATAAGCTGACTGTCAGTTAAGGAAGGGTAGGATAAACAAGTATGAATTTGTGGAAAGGCAGTGGATCATATAAGAAAAAGAGAATCAGATCAAAAAAGAGCAGCAAAGTAAATCTGTCTCTCTCTTTCTCACCAAGCAGATCCCCCCTAAATGGATGCTAGCAGTATGGTGAGATACAGACAGCAAAGCAAATGCAAGCATGCTCAGATTCCACCAGTTCTGTGAATCACCTCTGAATCTCTCTAAAGCAATTCAAAGACACTCAATACTGTACAATTGGATGCCTTGAACTGCCTTTGATATTTGAAAATTCAGTTTGAAGGGGTAATTCAGTCAAAGTTCCTTCAGACTGAATCACCCTTTGAAATGTCACAGAGCATACCTGTAAGGAGTCCTATGAATAGTTCAACTGAATATAAACAGCTTCCCTTGATGCGCATGTTGTGAGGATGACTGTAGTTTACAAGACTTGCCAACATTTTCCTACTCAACCTGTTTGCTTGCTGAGACTCACTTGGTGCCACAATACAGTAATTTTTCTTACAGAACTCTCCCACTTTGAGAACCCCAACAGTATTCTCAATACTTTCCCATTCCTTTCAATTAATATGTTAATATTTTCAGAGCTATTTTCTAAAATTCTTTTTTTCAAGAATCTGCAGCCTTAAATACTGTTTTGTTCCATCAATTTGAATACAAATCATTTTCAGCATTAAAAAACTTAATAGGGGAAAAATATTTGTAATTAAATAAGATAAATGTGCCTTTCTTAAACATAAGGCTTAACTCTCATTCTCTATTAGTTTCATAATACAGATTCCAAAATCACGTAACCTTAAATTAGATTGAACAGGCATTTACTGGGGGATGCTTCTCTGATGAATAATACTAAATGTGCAACCCACACACAGATTTAAGCATAAGATAACATATGCTATTAAATGTGATGTAGGAAGCAAGCTAATTTTGTGCATGTTTAATATTAACACACAGAAAACAGGAGGAAGATATTCCCTAAATGCCTCCAAATTGGCCAATTTTTTCTTGATGAATCAGTACAATTATTAGAGAACAATGATACTTTCAGTTTTCTTGCTATCTTAAAAAAATCAACCAAAGCTATTTTCATCTGTGAAACAATACCTCTTCATATGTTAAGTAAAAAGGCTGGGGAATTCTAACTTTGTTTATTTATCAGCAGGATAGACAATTTTTATACAACTGATTTTTCTATCTTCTGGAAACTTCTGGCTATCAGAACTTCGAAGAGCCAGGGGAATTTCAAATTTTGGGGCATTATGGATGCAGAAGGAAGAGAGGATACTTATTTGCATAATGCAAAGTCCAAGTACCTGACGTATTTCTTCAAGCTATGACTACAGGTAGTCCTCGACATACAACCATTCATTTAATGACCATTCAAAGCTACAACAGCGCTGAAAAAAGTGACTTATGACCAGTCCTCACACTTACAACCATCACAGTGTCCCTGCGGTCACATGATCAAAATTTGGGTGCTTGGCAACCAGCATATATTTATGACAGTTGCAATGTCCCAGGGTCACGTGACCACCATCTGCGACCTTCCTAGCTGGTTTCTGACAAAATCAATGGGGAACCACCTGATTCAGTTAATGACCATGTAATTAAGTTAATGACCATGGTGATTTGCTAAACGTCCACCACAAAAAAATGTAAAATTGGATGCTATCACATGACGACCACACCGCTTAATGACAAATTTTCCGGTCCCTATTGTGGTGATCAGTCGAGGACTACCTGTAGATTATGAGAATAAATGCATAATCTACAGGTCTTTCTTTGGCAAGGAAAGATCTAACTCATATATTATGAAAATGGCATAAATGTTGCTGATGCTCACATCACTTTGACAAAATGTTAATAAATACAATAACATCTGAATTAAGACATGGAAATCTGCCATATCAGTGCCTCAGCTCTGCATAGCATATTTGCATTAAAATGTGATAGGAAGTGCAAACAGCAGATCACATTATTTAAGTCCCTTTGTTGTTTTATTTTGTTTCGAAGGGGAATAATCAGCATCCTATCTGCCTGTGAACAGTGAAGAAACTTTTCCCCACATCTTTCCAATGATTTTGAGATCTCAATAGCTGTGTATTCCCAAAATGTTTTCCTAGTTTTGTGATGAACTTTTAGAGATCTCACTAGGCTTTAACACACAGATTCTTGTGAAAGACCTTTAAAAACTGTTGGCCTAAAACACTCCTCACAATACGCTGCTCAAAATAATTTTGCATCCTTAGTGTCTCCCATCATTG